CTACATTTAGAACAATATGAATTATTTGACATTTTGGAATGTACATTGTGAATCCATCCATAGGTAATTAGGTACAACATGGGTGGGCATGAATCATTTTGTCCTTCATCCACCACATAGTGGGTGGTTCTAAACCCACCCAAATCCACATAAAATCACTCATTGTTCACTCCTAGTTATATCTTTTTCGTTGTTTTTTTTTTGTATATACCTCTTAATCCTACTAGACCACGACAACTACTACAATTAATCCCCTAGTAGTAATAATCATTGTAATAATGCAAATAATGAATCCCCTAATGATATACGTAACAGTTTTCTTAAGCAGGCCATAAAATTAAGATCACACCATAAACACAACAAATCACACCACAAAAACTCATAAAGTAGACAAGAAAATGTAGAAAGCATACCACAAAACACGTGAAAGCACATGACAACTCTCATGAATAAAAAGATTAAAAAAACACCAGAAACCTCACGAAGCGAACGAGAAACACTATAAAATACAACACAATGCAAATACAAATCTTCTAGTCCATATCAGGAAGTCGAGAAGTTGCACCAGAATGTAATGAAACATACCAAAAATATGTGAAATCCAACAAATGAGAACGTCGCTTGCACGGAGGAGTAGCTTCATCGATAGATCGAGGTTTTAGGTCATGAGTAACGACGGATCGATGATTTTTGTCGATTAGAACTAGATGAGGAAAGGAAATGCAATAGAATTTAAGGTTTCAACAACGACCGACGGCGCTAAGACGCGAGAGGCTGATCACTGCGTTTATAGCAATAAAGAAAGGATTCGGTTTGCAAGAAAATGGGGAGAGAGATTTAATGTTATCCATATTTTGATCGAGTCGGTAACTACCAACATATATTTAAAGATTTATTTTAGTATGGTGCTAACATTAAAGTGTCAGCACCCTATCTAGTCATCTTTATTTCGTAATGATATTGTGGACTGACTTTAGGGGTGTGCAACAATTCAGTCCAAGTACCGGACCAACAATGCATTTCAGTCAGTTTTGATCCAGTCCAATTGTCAATTCGGTTTATTTTTCTTCAGTCTTTATAAAAGTCTTTATGCCAAGGACAGGAACATGTTATACTCGGTTTGGTGTGGTAAGTTCCAAGCATCGGGTTGATCCGGTGGGATCCAGTCTGGCTTAAGAATGGGAGGTTCAACTGGTTCATACGTACATAGAAAGGAATAGAGTCACGGGCTGGCTCTCGAAACACAGTCTCGTCTATTTCGGTATGCATGAGTTGGATGATCCTCCATCAGATTTTGAGACAATGTTCTAGGAAGACATTTTGGGAATCAGCTTGACACGATAAGCACAACGACATGCAACTAAAGATGATGATTCTGGGTCATTCTTGGGATCTTTTTTGATAACGAGGAACACCCCTCCACGGTCATCACCTTCAGTGATGTCGTAGTCGGGCCAAATCCCCGGACCTCCACCAGCAGTCCAGACAAATGCGGGGTGCCTCCGCGAACACCATGGCAGCGGTGAGGATTGAACCTGGGACCTCTTGATCACTAGTCCACCTCCTTTACCACCAGGCTATGAGACCTTTGGCTCCTGGGCTCTCTTCGTATGGTGTTTTGGTTAAAATGCTTCAGGATAATCGACAATGTAAGAGAGTAATAAAACACGTATTCGTGTGGTTATCTAACCCAATGCGTATTATAGCATCCCGAAAACTAGCTTTTAAAGATTTTAATTCACTTCTATGACTTCACTGGAGCTTATATTGAACTTATGATAAAAAAATTCCAAAGCAAAAAAATTTATTTGGAAACACAAGAAGAGTACATTGATTGGGCTCAAGATACAGTGCATAACCATGGTTATGCACCCATTAGAAACTAAATCTGGACCCTTCATTTAGAAAATCCAAATATAAGGGTGGAGAATTAAAGACCTTTTTAGTTTCCCTTGTTTTATTAATCGGCTCATATCTTCTTCGTTTTAATTTGGATTTTTAATTTATTTTTTGCACAGATGGAACGAGTTCGTTGTGCTCTACAAAATGAGATCCATTTTCAATATTTTTTTAGAAAAAAAAAAATTTTGGGCCTCGTGGTACCAACTGCATACCATATGATATCTTCGTTTTTAATTCGTTTTTGAGAATTTTTGCACAGAAGGAACGAGTTCATCATGATCTATTGGATCTACAAATTTCTGGGTGAACAAAATGCAGGAACAAAAAATACCACACAATACCACCCTGGTACGGGGTGGTATCTTGCGGTACACAATGTTAAAAGTCTTAAATGACAGTTACTATACTTCTACTATCATGTATTCAACCATCCTAGAGTCTTTGTTTGTTCATACCACCATGATACGTTTTTCATACCATATGTATGCTCTTATTTCAATGCCGGTATAGACTGGTAAAAAATGGCTCAATTTTTTTTTTAAAATATATCAAAGTGGATATCATTTTGAAGAGCACAATTAATCTCATCTAACTATGCAAAAAAATTAAATTTCAACTTAAAATAAGTGAGAAATCGTCTGTTAAAGATTAAAGAGGGAAAATTAAAAGCTTTTCAAGAGAGAAAAGGGATGCTGATGTGACGAATGGTGATTGAGTTATGCATGATTATTAATCAGAAGGTTATTGACCGGATCTGCTCCCACTTAAACCATCATCAATGATGCAATTCGCATGCAATTTCAAGTGTGGTCCCTATTGCCACTTTAACAACTTTAACAACTACCTCACTCCTCACTTTCATAGCATCTACATCAATGTCATTCACATGCAATTGCATCGTGGGTCCTACTTAATTTTACTACAATTCTATATTCATATTGCCTACATCGTTTTACTAAAATATTGTAATGCCTTTTCAACTAAAATTAGTAAATTATTATATAATTAATTACTATAAATAAATATAATTTTAATTTTGAGTTGAAATTGAAAAGATTTAGATAATTAAATTAACAAGACCGAGAAAATAGATTTTGGCCCAATAATTGCACCAATTTTTTATTAAAATGTTTTTTCCTTTCTTAGTTTTCAATTTGATTTAAATTAAAATGTTTAATGGTTTGTATCTATTTTAATTTCTGAGTGTTTTTAATTAATCATGTAATAGTTGTTTTGATGTGTTTAGTGTGTTTTTCTTTTCGATTTGTACTGTATGGATGTATTATCTTGAAATATATGTGAATCTTGAAATTTTAATCATATTATTAATCTTATTAACCATGAACTAAATGCATAAATATATATACATATATATGCATGATAGAAATGAATGGAACAAGATAAATACAAAACAAATAGAAAAGACAAATGCAATATGCAAATTTTGGTGGTAAAAACTAGAAAGAACAAAAAAGAAAAAGAAAAGTGTTGGAGGTATGACTTAGGAGGGATGCCCAAGTTCCAGCCCATGAATGACTACGGGTCCAAATAATGTGCAGGGCCGAGGGTAGCCGTTGGAGAAGCCCGGTAGATCGGGCCAAACAGAATTTGAGGGGTTCTGACACGTAAGAAGATTGTACATACTGACAGTGGTCCCGGAAGGTTGGCGCCTACGGCCTGTCATAAGTCTGGCAAGTTGGTCGGGGCGTCTGGCCTAAAAAAAGTACGATGCATTTAATGGCGTTCTGACGTGGAGTAGAGAGGTAAAAGCATGGTCTCAGGTTGTGTAAGTATAAATAGTGTTGATAGGTAACATTTATGGGGATCCTTTTCTCACACTAGAAACAAGAAGGGACTACTTCTCTCTCTAAAGGATATCTTGCTAACTTAAGCGTCGGAGGATTTACGGGCCAGACGCCCACCTCTGTGTGTGTTGTGCAAGCAAGGCGCTCGACTGCAGGGGCAGAGTGACGTGGCACGAAAGTGGGGTCACTCCGCCTCAAACAAAAAGAAAGAAGGAAAGATCCAAAAAGAGTACAAAAAGTCTGCCAACTTTCAATTGCATCACCACTTGCATGGTGTGCAAATTTGCACATGATGCAAAGCTTTCCACAATAATGCCACCCATCTCTCCACTTTCATCCCAATGCCACCTAGGATTGCAATCCTCCTCATTCCCACCGTTGGGATGCTCTTATAGGTAGGGGTGGCTATACGGTCCGGTCCGGTTAAATTGGCCCAAATTGACCAGGTCCAGTCCGGTCTTTTTGAAAATATAAGGACCAAAACTTGGATTGTTTACAGTCCGGTCTTGACCCGGTCCAGTCCCAATTCGGTCTTGATTTTGTATTGAGCTTGTGGGGATTTGAGTAGCCTAAGGCATGAAAGGGTGAAGAGTTGGTTAAGTTTTGTACTAAGTGCAAAGGTTTGTGACCGTTTATGCAAATTATCCTTAAGTTTTGGGTGTTGAGCTCTCTTATCCGGTCTTTATCCAGGTTTCGATCCGGTCCCGAACGGTTTTTTACCTCAAATCCAAGCCCAAAAATTAGATTGGATTGTTTTCTATCCGGTCCCGGTCCGGTCTCGATCCGGGTTATACGGTTCGGTTTCAGGTAAAACCAAAAAACCCGGACCAAATAACCAGCCCTACTTATAGGACCTAAAAATCCCTCACACAAAACTGAAACCATTCCTAAAAAAAAAAGCTCCAATGATGTTTTAATTATAAATACGAATTAGATTCGCAAGACAACAAAAGAAAACAGTTGAATTATCTTAGTATTCACTAAAAAATAAACTACCTTAATTAATACACAATCCTAACTCCAGAAAATAAACAACAAATATTCCGTCATATAAATCGAACAGATTCGTTGGATACAAACATGTACAACAACACAAAAAGTTAAGTCTCCTCCAGGCCACCGGCGATGCTACCAATAAACGAAGCTTACTAACACGTTTTCTTAAAATACATTACTGTTCACCTTATAATCATCTTATCTATAAATACCAAGCAGAAAAAAAGTAAAAGGAAAGCAGAGAAGGAAACGATCACAAGTTAATTAATTAACATGTCAATCCAATCTCTACTCTCAATGGCATCGCCTCTCCTAATCCCTTTCCTAACACTCCTCGCCACCTTCGTCATCGCAACCACCACTCTAACCCTAATAACCAAACTCTTCGGCACCAAGCATCCACGTCACCGCCCACCGCCAGGCCCACGTCGGGTCCCGATCATCGGAAACCTCCACCAGCTCGTCTCCGCCCTCCCGCACCGCCGCCTCCGCGACCTGGCCCACAAGCACGGTCCCGACATCATGCACCTCCAGCTCGGCGAGCTGTCCCACATCGTCATCTCCTCCGCGGAAGCCGCCAGAGAAGTCATGAAGACGCACGACGTCGTTTTCGCGTCCCGGCCTTCCATCCTCGGCGCCGACATCGTGGTCTACGCGGGGAAAGACCTCGCCTTCACTCCCTACAACGACTTCTACCGCAAGCTCCGCAAAACCTGCGTGGTCGAGCTCCTTGGGGCCCACCGGGTCCGTTCTTTCCGGCCCATCAGGGAGAAGGAGGCGGCGGCGCTCGTCGACAGCCTGTCCCGTAGCGCCGCCAAAGGGGAGACCGTGGATGTCGGGAAGGCTCTGTTCCAGCTCACCAGCCGGGCGACTCGGGGGTCGGCGTTTGGCAAGCTGGCTGGTGACGTTGACGGGGAGGAGTTCTTTAAGATGGTGGAGAGGATTGCTGACGTGTTGGGAGGGTTCAGGGTGTCTGACCTGTTCCCGTCGCTGACGTGGCTTCCGGTGGTGACAGGGTTTAAAAGTCAACTCATGGAGATTCACAGGAAGTTGGATCGGATGCTTGACGACATGATCAGTGAATATAAAGAGAGAAGAGCCGCCGCCGTTGCCGCTGCCGGGAAGGGAGTTGGCGGAGGAGTAGTGGAGACGGAGGATCTGCTGGATGTTCTCCTCAATCTTCACGAAAGTCAGAGCCTTGATTTCAGTTTGACCTTGGAAAACGTCAAAGCAGTCACCCTTGTAAGTATATAAATGCTCACATACTATCGAAATTTACACAGATCATTACATTTTTTGTTTAAATTAACCTTTAATACAAAAATTTGGATGTTATATATTTCTATTTAGACGTTATTAAAATTAAAATTATATGTCTAGCTAGAAGCAATTTTTCATATTTATTGTTCCTATCTGTCTCGTGACGAAATATCATTGACTTTATGTACGATTTGGTAGGAGATATTCCTTGCTGGAGTAGAGACGTCAGCCACAGCAATGGACTGGACGATGGCGGAACTCGTGAGAGACCCTAGAGTGATGCGAATCGCACAAGAAGAAGTTAGACGAGTGTATCGTGGAAAGCATGTCGTTGATGAATCAAGTGTCCATGAATTGGAATATTTGGACATGGTTATCCAAGAAAGTTTAAGATTGCATCCGCCACTTCCGTTACTTCTCCCAAGAGAAAGCACCGAGCAGGTGCAGGTCATGGGGTACGATATTCCACCCAAAACAAAAGTAATCGTCAACGGCTGGGCGATCGGGAGAGATCCTCGTTACTGGGGCGCAGATGCCGAGAAATTTTATCCAGAGAGATTCCTTAAAAGCACGAGCAACTACAAGGGGACGGATCATTTCGACTTTATTCCCTTCGGAGCCGGAAGGAGGATGTGTCCTGGAATTTTATACGGAACATCGGTTGTTAAACTTACTCTGGCGAATCTGCTCTTTCATTTCGACTGGAAGCTTCCCGATGGATCGAAGCCCGAGGACTTGGACATGACTGAGCGTTTTGGATCTTCGGCCAGAAGAGAATGCAACCTGTGTTTGATTCCCGTTGCATATGACGCGATGTAATGTTGCACCTTTGACATCTTGAAAGCATGCGATGGCTATATGTATGATTCCCCAATAGTTTGAGAGCACTTCTACTATGCTATAAAGTATTGGTGCTTTAATGTACAACTTAAAGTTGTACCATAACGTTAAATGTATAATTTCAGGTTGTACCATAAATGAATTTGTGCTCTTATGTAATGGTACAACTTTATAACTTAAACTTAACTTGTATCATCAAATGAAAGTACAAGTTTAAGTTGTACTATAAAACAATTTGACAAAAGAGTATAAGTACAATATGAAATTGTACAATAACGTTAAAGGTACAACTTCAAATTGTACCATAAAAGAAAAACCTATAGCACCAATGCTACATAGCATTGTAAAATTCCTCATAGTTTGATTGTTTACAAAGGAGCTCTTCTTGCATTAGTTTGAGAATGAAAGGTAATAACTCTGGTTCTGGGGTGCATGCAGAGGATCGAACGACTGCTGAAGCTGATGATGATCGTTTTACCTGAATTACCCAAGGAAAAGTGAAGTCAATTAGCAAGAAACGGATTCTCTATTTTTCCTGCCCTAGCTCTTATTGTATTGCTCCTTTGTTTCTGTTGTTTAATTAATAGTTAATAATGATTGACTAATGTTCCATATATATAATGCATGTATGAATGTTGTAATTGTCATTTTTATTTGGAAAAATGATACTTCCTATTAATTATAGTTAATTATAGTATTAAATTTGTGTTATATTTAATAATCTTTGCGAATTAAAAATTCTTATTAATTACATTCATTTCTTTGAATTACCATTGCACTGAAAAAAGGAGAGTAATTATTATGAATTTTGAACTACCATTGCACTTGTACACTGATATCATTGCACTGGTAGAACTACCATTGCACTAAAAAAAGAAAGTAATTAATATGAACTTTTAATTCAGATAGATTATTAAATGCAACACAAATAAATACCTTAAAAGCCTATAATTAATAGGGGTGTCATTTTTCCAACCCCTTTAAAGATAGTTATGCTATCTCATCCCCTGTTCTAATGCATGATGATTTCTTGTCATATGTGCTTGTTCTCTTGCGTGTGGGTGTTCTAGATATATTTTATGCAACTAGGAAATTTGTGGGGGTTAATTCCCAATTTTTTTTAATTTATCACAAATATGGCGATTTAAAAAGTATTTACATGAATATTGTGTTTTGAAGGTAGGATAAGGCGAATCTACGTGAGCATAAAAAATAGCCACAACATACGCGAACCCGCCCCACCTCAAGCGGATGCGCTACTATACAATACGTTGACCCGCGCTAGTCTCAAGCGGATTTGATTATTCGCTTTTCCCCAACCCCTTGCAGCAGAGACTCAAAACACCTTCTTCTCCCCTTTTTCTCTGTTGTGCGATTCCGAAGAGACCTTCCCCTGCTTCCACCAAGCTCACACGAATCAGCCAAAATCTTACTCCTCCTACCATCACTCAAGCAAACCCGCGTCTCCTTCTTTCTATTTTCTCTTCCTTCGTGCGGAGCCACTCCAGAACCAGATCTGACTCCGACCATTCCGGCAAAGAGGAAGCGGTCGCTGGCAGAGGAAGGGGGAGAGGGTGGCGAGCGGCAATGAAGGCGGGTACCAAGGTAAGGATTTTCGCCGACGGCGAGATGTTACTATTCTATTTTTTAATTAGTTTTTATTTTGTTTGTTGCTTTTCAGTTCCTAGGATTATGAAAACGTATTCCATGAGGCGACCACCTACGACAATTGATCCAACTCTGGTCGATTCGGTACTTCTTTAGGCACATGGTCAACATCGTGCCCACTCAATTTTGCAAAACGAGGTAAGTCTTTCATAACAAATTTTCTTTAAAGTTCATTAGCAAGTTAGATTAGATGTTTAGATTTTTACTAGGTGAACTGCAATTAGAATTACGTATGAAATTTTTTGAAATTAGTTTAAGTTTAGATTAGATATATTTTACTAGGTGAACTGAAATTAGAATTACATATGAAATTGAATTAATATAAGTTTTGTGCATTGTAGCTTGTTATCGAGTTTACCAGATTCGAGGTACGACCCGTATAGTCACGTACCATGCACATTATCAGACGTAACTCATCGTGGCGGGCTTTATTAGTGTTCACCGATTGGTCCATATGACTGCTGATCCAGGTTTGATACTGCGCTCGTAGAACGTTGGCGACACGAGACATCGACCTCTCAATTGTCGTTTGGTGAGGTTACGATCACTTTAGAGGACGTTGCGACACTCACCGGTCTACCGATCGACGGTGATCCCGTCATAGTAGACACACCAAATGAGGAGTGGTCAGAGAAGTGTGTGAGACTGTTAGAATGGGCTCCTTTTGATCTTTCCGGCGGTGCAGTTAAGATTGGTTGGCTCAGGGATGAATTCAATCATTTGCCGGCAAATGCATCATCGGAGACTACAGAGCAGTTTGCACGAGCATATGCTCTATCTATGATGGGAGGAGTACTGTTCCCCCATCGGACTGGAGCTACGGTTCATCTACAGTACCTACTCTTGGTGGAGGATTGGCAGAGAGCTGGACGGTTCTCTTTGAGAGCAGCTGTTTTAGTCTACCTGTACAGTGAGATGGGTAGGTCTGTTTTGAACATGACGTAGTCCTCTTCCCTAAGAGATGACCTTGGTGGATGAGTCCCCTTACTGCAGCTCTGGGCGTGGGAGCAATTTCCACAGATAGCACCACGACATACAGAGATGAAGGAGCCTATTACTGAGAACGCATACCCACGTGGTGCTCGATGGCTTCGGACCAACACCCATCAACACGGTAACCAGTTTTACCAGTACAAGTTGTTTTTGACAAGGTGTTGACCATCGTGTTTAGTATATAATATTTCATTATAGAATAGTTTTCATTAGTTTTTGTAGATTCAGTAGTAAAATGTGACCACTTTTTGTGTGTAGTGGTGTTCTTACTAGGCGAGAGGCGAGCAATTCTGAGGTAGTGTGATCCAGTCAAATACGTTTCGAGCAATAGTTCCACTGATATGCTTTTCACCGGTGATGTGGCACCATCCAGATCGCGTGCTCCGACAGTTTGGCATGCTGCAGGATGAGCCTCATCAGCCACATAGTGAGCCTGAGATTAGATATTTCCTTCGCCAGACATCTCGGGGGCCATCGCGTGGGTAGCGGTTGCTAAACGACTATAGTGAGTCTCTTGATTTGTGCCATCATTGACATGAGTATATAGCGGCTATGCCATTTAGTGAGGAGACTTTAGCCTACCACTTGGAGAATCTGGAGTGGTATCGAGATGTTTCCAGATGTACACTCACACGGAGAGCATCTAGAGTGAACGCAGTGGTTAGTTTTTCTTGCTTCATATTTTTGTTTTATTTGTTTGGAAATTCGTAGTTGTGTGAAATCTTGACATTTTAAATTTAATTTTCAGTACGACATCTTAGAGTTTGTTGAGTTGAAGTTACAGGATAGCGCAATCTACCACCGACGAGAGGATGGAGTTGGCTTAGATGATGGCATCAGAGGTTGCTGCTTTAGGTTTGAATGATCGTCGGCATCCTGATGTGACAGTACCTATACAACAACATCCTAATGAGCAAAACCTTGCCAGATGGTCAGAGCGTACGAATCCGAGACTAGACTGGTACGTGCGAGAGCCACAGTTCATGCAGGAGCCTAGGAGGCGTAGACAACGACGTGATCAGTGCAACGTACCTCACCCAATGAGGATTTCATATCGTCAGCGAGTATAGTCTGTTTGACACACTTACAGCTCACAGCCTGTCCAACCAACTCCTCCCTTCTAGCCGCAGTATAGACCCATAACTTCTTCGCAGTTTCAGCCAGGGTTTTCACAGTTTCATTCAGACACTTCTTCGCAGTTTCAGCTTGGGTTTTCACAGTTTTAGCCAGGCACTTCATCGGCCTTCCATCCTTCTCAGCCCTTCTAGCCTTTTTTGGCATTTCAGCCAAGGCCTTCTTCAGGATTTCACCCTCCACTCCGGACGATAGCTTCCATACATCCCACCATGCTGCGATGGGAGGCAGATACATGGCCTCAAGTGGTTATCGAGTAGCCACACCGCATCTCTGGTGGGAGTGACTAGAGGGGGATCCTTCAGCAGAGGACTCGACCATGATGTGGGCTCCGGAGATGTAGCATCTTAAGGGGCAGGGGTTATTCACTAGTGCACCAGATGAGCATCCCCGGTCTCAGGTGCATGGTTTGTTCGGTACACAGGATGATGATGATACAGTGGAGGGAGATCGGACCCATCACGCTGAGCAGATGCTTGTACAGGACAGATAGGCACTGATGTGTGGTACTGGAGGCCATCTAGTGGATCATCGTGGTGGTCGTTAGTGATACTATTATGTATGATGTTATTAGTATGTACTTCTATGGTTATTATGTATTATAGTACTATTGTGGACTATTTATCATTTCATAATGTATTATGATACTATTATTGTCATGTATGATGATATTGTCTAAAATGAAAACTTGAACTATTTATCATTTGATTAAAGTTCAACAACTACTTCAAACAACAACAACTACTACATGGAATTCGAAAGTTCCAAAACCCAAAAGCCCACCCGATCGTTCAAACCATAACAACATCAAACAATAACAACTACTACGAACAACAACGACTACTACATTTGATAAAAGTTCCACCATTATGGTCATCATGTGCTAAGGTCCAACGGAGTTGATTTTGGTCCACCCCAATTATCGCATGAAACATTTCTATCACCGGTCATCTTCTTAAATTGCTCAACTTGACGATCGAACTTCTCCAAGCGTTTTTCTCCGACAAACACAATAAATAACCACACGAGTTAGTTATATTCATGACAAAAATAAATAAATAAATAATACATAACAATAAATAACCATAATAATGAAGGCTTACCGACTCGAAACAGTTGATTATACATCATCTTGATTTTAGTATTCCTTTGCAAGTTGTTTGCATAGTTTCGCATGCCCCATC